TATATATGTATATATATATATATATATATATCAATCAGTTTTCTTAGTTAGTTTTAAATTAATTCAAATAATTAAAAGTATTTAATTTTTTGTAAATATGTTAGGTTTACTGATAATATTTGGTGCCTAGAGCACTAATGTTTAGATAAAAGTTATTATATTTGCCGCTAACATGACTAAATACGCATGCGGCCCTTCATTACTATACGTGGTGTGTAAGTGGACCTTCACTCAAAAAAGTTGTGCACCCCTAGTATAGACACAAATTTAATTAGAAAGAACAAGATTTCTCTATTTAATTCTAGACATAAAATTTTCCACATTTCCAGGTGTTTCAAGAAAATTTCATTCTTACAAAACTATAAATCTATATAAAAAAAAAATTTTTTTATAAGAATATTAAAATTTTTTTATTTGATATGTTAAATACTAAATTTTGAGAGAAACAAAAATATCACTAAATGAAGAAATTGAGAAAAATTCCATTGAAAAGTGGAATATTTACAAGGAATGTTAACCTACTTATTATAACGTCAAACCTATTTAACTTTAGTTTGTGACTGGTGTTACCTACAACTTTAAAAATTCACTTTTTTTTCGGGAGGGGGGGGGGCTAAGTAAGTTGAGGGAATTTTCCAGATTTTAACAAAACAATATTATAAAATTTTCCTTCATCTTTAGAACTAAAATAAAAATGTTACCGTTTCCACTATCCTTTCAGACCTGTGGAAACCCTGCAAGACAATGCAGGTCCTGTTTCTTTGAACATGAGGTAAAATTTTTGTTCTCTTATTTTATATAGAACAGGACAAAATATAATTGAAAAACTAACACCCACATATTTATTTTATTTTATACACAGCTCAATAGAACACCAATTCCTATTGTTAATTTAAAAAAAATAAATAAAATATTTCAATACAATATTCAATACCAAAAAACCGGAATGAAATTCGATACATTTTCCGCCATTTTTGAAAAAAAAAAGTTTTTTTTTCCTTATAAGATTTTAGGATTTTTCTTTCTTTTTGTAAAGATGTTTACCTTACTATCATTTTGGAAATAATCATTAGTGTATTACTTCGTTTTTTCTTCTTTTTAAGATTATTTCCAAATATTATTTTTTTTAGTTGGGTTTAAGAATTAAAAAAAAACGGCTTTTTGTAGTGATTCAGAAAACCGGAAAAATCAGTTATCCGGAATAGCGATGGTCCCGATCGTTCCGGATAATTGGTTCCCTACTCCTACTGTACTATTTTTTAAAGAACTTATTTGGTATAAAGTATTATCTACATAAAAATATAATAATTATCTATATAAAATTATTCTAACTATTAAAGGAGGGATGTGACAAATAGTTATTTGGCAGAGTAGCCGAAAATTCAGGGGCTAGATCACGATTTTTTTTATCTATTTTTTTAAATATAAAAATGAGTTTAGTCATTATTGAACTGTACAAGAAAAAGGTGGCAATAAAAGAACAAAGTTTATTAGCAACGTACTGTTACCATGCTTCACTTTACTTAAAACAGAAAAAGAAGCAAAAATGAAATAAAAAAGTTCGTAATTTTTAAAATATAAAATGCTGAAAAAAAAAACGATGAAATTGTCTTGCCTGAATATAATTAAAAAAAGAAAAAATCAGCATTACAAAAACTCATGGCTCTGTACAAAGTAATCTAGTTTCAATTCTACAAATTTTGCTTTTCAGAACTTAAATTTATAAGTTTCAGAACCTAACGAATATGAGTAAAAATTTCTAATAGTGTATTACAAAAAATATGATTTTAGGTTATTCTTTATTAAAATCTATTAAAATCCCCCCGTCCCCAAAAAAAACATATAAAATTTTTTTTATAATGTATACTTTTCCGAACATTTGGCTTAAAATTTAGCCAACCGAATTTTCTTCAAAAGGGTTGTAATAGGCCAAATACCGAATATTCGTGACATCCTTACTAATTATGCAGAGTAAAATAAATATAAAAAAACTATTCGCACAATAATTATTTCTGAAAATATTTATTCCTACAAGTGTGGTTTTCTTTCTTGTAAAGACGTAAATATTGTATTAAAAATAGATATTAAAAAAAATATATATATAGCAAAATTTAAGTCTTTGTGATGCATTAGCACACAGCATTGTCTAAATAACCTGGAACAGCATATCATCTATCAAAGGTCCTTTTTGGAAGTATTTAAGTCTGTTGACTGACCCTTCACAAAACTTTTTATTGTGAAAAGAACCCTTCATGACGAAGTTAATCTTTAAAATGGACTGTTTCCAAAATTTTATTGTTCATAACAGCTTTTTCAAAAAATTCAACTAATAGTAGCTTTAATTCATAATTTTAAAACAAAATATCCTTAAAAGAAATGTTCTTTTGCATTTCTTTACCGAAAAAAAAAGACATTTTCATTCATTTAAAAAATTATTAATAAATTTTCACATATATGGATCATTCACAAAATGTTCTAACCAACCAATGGTTTAAGTAATTAATTAGAAAAAATTAGGTTTGTATATCAAAAATTCAAAAAAAAAAAAAAAAGGAAAAAAAAAGAGTATTTTTCAAGACTTAGTGAAAATGAACCTTTCACGAAAAGTCTGGTTTAACCCATAACCCTAACTATATTACAACATTGCAATTACCAAGATCTTATTACAGCACACGAATATGATTATTTTTGCACACTTATCTAATGTCTACATAACATCTACTTTTGACCAGAATACATAGATTATTAAACTAAGAGTTAATGTACTAGCAGACATTATATGCAAAATTTTACTATCATTTTGATCTGATTTTTACCATAATATTTTGAAAAGAAATTTATGGTTCAGCATCATTATTAAAAGGTTAATTTTCCTCATTACTAAAATTAGGATTTGAAGAGAACATTAAAATAAACAATTATTTTTCAAAATAAACACAGAGCATTTTTTACATCTAAAAATAATTCATCACTTGTTTTTTCTTTTAAAGATAAATAAAAATCTCAAGAAGTACATTTACTCAAAGTTTTATAGTAAATTACAAACCTAGCTGCCAAGAAAAGGAGGCAAAAAAAATTTGTTGATTTTACGCAATATGTATTTTAGATAAGATATTGCATAGTATTTGAAATGTTCTAGATACAGGAAATTTCATGCATTTTGATTATTAATAAAATATAAAAAGTACATCACATTAATAATTATAAATTTCATTTGACTGCAATATCTTTTTTTAATGATTAACATTATAAAGACTCAAACATAAAATGTTTATTATACTTTTCAACTCTTAATTTTAAAATCTTTATTTCAGATGTTCATTTATTTGAAACAGTTATAACACATTATTTGACTATTAATTTGAAATTAAGAGTTCTGAATCCTATTTTTCTTTTTAAAAAATGAAAATCCTAAAGGATTTAAAAAGGAGAAACTTTACTTATTAAAAATCAGGCTTACTTTATTCAGGGAATATTAATTCAAGTACAAATTACAGGATAACCATTGAGTTGAAAATAGATAAATAAATAAAATCCAGAAAATATATATTTATAAAATCCAGAAATCAAGTGAAAAATCCAGTTCAGTAGGCTGTGACGTTACAATGAATTAGAAAGGCGGATGCAAAACTTTGCAACAGAAATTGATGTAATTTTAATTATTATTAACAAATGAAACAAATGCATTTACTAAGAGTGCACGAAATTAAGAATTTGGCANCAAAAAAAAAAAAAAAATCTTAAACATTTGAAATGCTTTAAAAAAAAAAAATTTTTTTTTTTCAGTATGCTATACCTATTTAATACAAATTTATTTTTATAAAAATCACCAAGGTTGAGTTCGACAATAAGTAGGCATTTAATTATAAATAAAAACAAATTCTACAAAATATTAGGAATTTGATCCAGACCTTCAGACACGACCTTATTTTTTTCCGGCGCCGTTAAGTCCAAGCTATTCTTGAGACATTACGTAATCGAATTAATTAACCTGTGAAGGAAGAGAAGATAAAAATTGGGAACAATTGGATACAGAATGCGACTCAACTGTCAAATATGAAATACGATTTACACAAAAAAATTCTAAAAAAAGTAAACACACATGGACTATAACCGATAAAATTGACTAAAAATAGAATGGTGAGAAAATGAAACAAAAAAAATTCGCAGACTTGAAAGCTCATTGAAAAGAAAAGTCGCAGAAAACATAAACAATAATCGAATGCTCGAAATCTGATAACTATTAATACTCAATCATCAAAGAGATAATTTAAGAAATATTTTTACCTCCTTCTCTCTGGTAAGCTGATAAAATGAACACCAGCAAGCAGTAGAGGAGAAAAGCAGAAGACAAAATTTCAATGGCTGATGCCAGCTTCAATGAATAAATTAATAAAAGCTTCTTAAGACCTATTTTTGCTAAAGCTCTGATTGTTTCAGAAAAGAAACGCAGAAGTGATACTGCACTATTCGCGATCACAACTCTCGAATGCGTTATCTTGGGAGAAGACCAGCTGTTCTATATGATTTTCAAATCAAAAAGTTTTAAATCTTTTTAGAAAATCAAGACAGAAACTACAAACCACACACGTTAATGATGAAAACATGCGAAGTGTTGCCATAGGTAAGGAGTTTTGCCCTACGCGACCTATAGCTTATTTCAATCGCCAATTCGATTCATCCATATGAAAATTCATATATATGCTGGAATAGATACACCTTGGTTGGATTGTCGGCGGATATTTGTTGGATGATCAATATCTTTTACTATTAAGTTAAAATCACATAATTTACACTTTTGGGAGCAAATTCTTCCTTAAATTAGAGAGAGGAGTATGTGAAGCACCTGCACCACATCCTAATGCTGCTTCCTAAAACTGTTTGAGCTCTAAATTCAAATGCTCAAACGAAGAATTTAAAACAAACAATTTTAAAATCTTCAAAATAATTATATAGCTTCGTTCAATCAACACTCATTGGTGATATTTTAAAGTATAAAGGGTTTCAATGTGTGTGTGTTCTTCCTTAATCACTGCCCTTTCAGTATTCGAATACAGTAATTTTCGGTAGATGCGCCGCATAACCAATTAGAATTGGGTCCAAATAATATAAGCCTGAATCAAACTACCATAATATAGTTTTCTATGGGAAAAAATTAATCATATACAATTATAAAAAATTGTTAAGATTTACATTTGACTAGGACTTTTGATATTAGGCCAATATTTTGAAATTTTTAGCGCTGGCTTTGATTGAGCATACAATTTCTGGAAAATCCATAAATAGTTATTTATCCAGTGTTTATAATTCAATTTAGATGGTATGAATTTTGAAAGAATATTTACTTAGGCTCTTCACGCCATTTGGCGCATAAGGAAGACAGCCTACTTTTCCATGCTTTAATCCTTTAAATTTTTCTCATTTGTCTCTGCCAACTCGTTTTTGATCTTCCCCATTTTCTTTAACATATCAGGGGCCCTAAATAGAGAAACAAGCACCAATTTTTCTCTTGTTGTTCTCAATACGTGTCTTGTCTATTTCCACCTTCTCTTATTGGTTTCATTTTGTTGATAGGTTTGCTTTTTCTAATTTTAACAGGCCAAACAATTTTTAAAACTTTTCTGAGACAGTTATTTTGAAAAATCTCAACTTTTTGGGTGTTTGATTTTCCAAGGTACCATGTTTCAGAGTCATATAATAAAATTTCTTGGACTAATGTTTTATAGATATTTATTTTGATTTTGTATTGAATGCTCGTTGACTTCTAGAACTCTTCGAGGCTTCTAAAAGAGCTCTGGTAGGGTAATTCACCAAATAAAAATGAGAAACTAAAATTTTTTACAGTAAAAATAATTTATTTTACAATAGACAGAATTTTTATTTTTTTGTAAAGCTACTATAAATACAAGTAATTAAATTTACAGTTGATAAATGAAAATATTTTATGATCTTACCTAATGAGAATATTATGAGATTACTCAAAAATAAATTTACAAGGCTGAATAGTTACAATATTTAAATTTGATACTAGTGCTTATCGATTTATAATTCTCCACTGTATAAATTTTGACAGACTACTTCATAAAATAAAAATAGACAAAATAATTTTTTTAAATAGTGAACTCTAAATACAAGTATCTTATATAGATTTTAGTGAAAAAATGCAAGAATCTTATGATAATACTATATAATTTAATGAAAATAAAATAATGTAAATTGAGATAAAGAGATTGATATTGCACTCTATAGTAGACTTTGAAACTTATTTTCAAATAAAATGTTAGTAGAACAGACATGCAACCCAATCAGAACGAAAAATACCGAATCGGGAAAGAACGTCTATTTGTCGGCATATTTTGAGATATGAATGCACAATTACACAAAAATAAACTGAAAGGAAGGCTAAAAAAATACTGAATTCAGTAAAAATACTATAAAATCACACGTCTGGTAGAAAAAAACCTATATTACACTTGAAATTAAAAATTAGCAATTTTTTTCAGATAAAATCTTAGAGAATTGATTAAGTAATAATAATAAAAAAAAGATCATTTAATAATGAATTTCAAGAGTAAGTATAAAATAGCATGTTACTTTTTTCAGAAAAAATATATTTTATTACTTAATAACATTAAGTTAGCAAAATTAAGTAAATTTAAAAAAAAAAAAAATTATTAGTTTATACCTAATTGAAAAATTAAATATAACTTTCTATAACTAAATTAATTTTTTTAAATGTAAACAAATTAAATTAGTTATACAGAGTCTTCTTCAAGAGTAAATTTTATAATTTATTTTCATTAGTTTTTTTAATAACAAAAGGACAAAATTAAACAGAGAAAGATTTGATATTAACAATTTTAATGCAGCTAATAATTATCACAGACAGATATTCTGACGATACATAACTCTTTTTAAAAAGCAATTATAAGTACACTTTTAGTTTGATGGGTAACAATAAATAAATATAAATAACGCATGTAAAATCTTTGGTTACATTATGAAAAATTACAGCATCAGTCCTTTCTCACAAAGATAACAGAAAGAAGGGATTTACAATAGTTTTATACATACTTGGAAATACAGGTTCAGAATCAGAGCTATTAAATTTTTTTTTAATCATTTAAGGAGATAACTATAATTAATTGACCGAGAGCTACGCTGATTGACTGACTTGATTTTAAAGCTCATTAATATTTCCAGCATTCATACAATGAATAGGCAACTTGTTAAAGTTCGTAACTTTGAGACCTACATTGGCAAAGCTTTCTGGTAGCACAGTTGGTTAAGGCATCCCTCAGATTGCTGGGGATTGCAAGTTCGATTCCGGCAGTCATGTAAACAACCGGAGAGTATATGCAAGTATACTCCAAGCCTGTCTATTTTCTAGAATCCAGGTAATCACATAAGGGATAGATCCCCCAAGACTTTCCAGTGAGTGCCATTCTAGATTTTAGAATGAAAGAAGGTAGAGAGATATTTGTAATTATCTTAAGAATACATGAAACATGCCACTTTGATCTCAAAACTACAATTTGGAACAGGTGCCTGTTTACAGCTTTAGTACACTATGAATATAAATTTCATACACAGGGCCCGTGCTAAGGATTTCAAATTATTAGCCAAATATCAGAAGTATTCACTAATTTTTGAAAGTCTTCACCAAATGCAAATCTTAGCAATTTATTATTATTATTATTATATTATTCAGACCCAATTCTAATTGGTTATGTAGTGCATCTACTGAAAATTACTGTAATCTAATAAAAAATACTGATTTGTTTAGAAAAATCAATTTGACGTAATTTTGAGGATCGAGTTAAATATATATTTTTCTAGCTGGTGGAAAAAATTATTCACCAAAACACAATTTTATTTGCCAAATTTACTATTTTATCACATTTGGCAAGGTGGCGAATGCTTAGCACAGGTCCTGCATAAACTTTACTTTGATTGAAGTAAATGGGGAACATCTGAATTTTTAATGTGCATTATTTTCACGGAAAATGTGGATATTAAATCTGTTTAGCAATAAAAGTACAAAAATATTTAATTACAAGCATCCTATACCTCAGTTTGAAAAAAAATAGGAGACAATTTTCTTAACTTTAATATGAATTTTTAGAAAATTTTTACATCATTATATCTCAGGCAGTTTTAATCCATAAAAATATGCGACTCAAACACAGTTTTTCACTCAATTTTTTGATACTGCTTTAAAGCACAGTTAAAACACCATTAAAGTTTTTCTATTTTTAATGATTATCTTGAAACTCCTTATCATTGATTGAGACTAGATTTGATGTTTAACATCACAGCAAAACATTATTATAATAAAACAATAAGCCTTAACTGACACTATAGCCAATATAATTTGGTAAAAATGAAATGAATTGTAATTGAACTTCAAAGAAAAAATTAATGAAAAAGTGTCTAAATCTAATATAAACAATTAACTCGGGAGTAAATATTTTATTTCAACACATGAGCTATTTCATAAAAAAGGTCTTAAGTAGGACTGGGCGATATTAGAAATTATATATCGTGATATATCGTCAGTTTTGCATCGCGATATAGCGATGTATCGCGATATAGTATTTTTGAATTTCATTTACTTTAAGGCACAGAAAGTCAGATTTCTATCAAGACTTCATACGCATATTGATTTAAATCAATTTATAAATTTGAAAATATATATGTTTTGCTAAAGAAAGATATTAAATAAATTGACTAAGATGTACAAATCTTACTTAAAATATTTATTGAAAAAATGTGTGTAGATACAGAATGAAATATTTGCACTTCTTTATCGTTTATAAGGTATAAGCAGTCTTAATTTAAGTTAACCCCTAAAACACCCTTAATGAAAAAAAATATTGTTATTAAACAAAAGCTGATTTTAAAATTTCAAAATATATTTTAATTAAAATAAAAGTTAGATTGACTAAAAGCCGAAGTTTAAAATTAAAAATGTTCGAATTTTAAACTAAAAAGTAAACATAAGATTTGTAATAATTTCTTAAAATTTTCGTTCTCTGAAAGATTTCTCAGTTTAAAAATAAAAAGGGAATTTTATAAAGATATCTAGCTGAAATTATTGAAAGAAAATTTAAAAAATTAAAAAAAAAGTTTGTTAAGAAATTCATTATACACTTAAAACAAAGTGTTTAAAAAATTTTTTTTTTTTTTAAAAAAAGAAACTTTTTTTAACAAATCAATATTTGCTTGTACTATTATGCGTAAATAATTACAGAATTATTAAGTTCGATCGTAATGTTCAAATTCTTAATGAAGAAGTAAACACAAGTTTTGTTATATTTTCTAAAAATGATCACGCAAATAACAAAAGATTTCTTAGTTTAAAAATAAAAAAATAAATAAAAGTGAAATTTATCAATATATTTACCTAACAGCATAGGAACAAAATTTAAAAAATAAGTTCGTTAAAAAATTATTTGTATGCTTAAAACAAAGAGCTAAATAAATTTTAAAAAAAAAATGCTTCTTAAACACTATTTTTATTATTATTTCATATAAATAATTAAATTAAATTAAATAATGACCGAATTATGAACGAAAAACAAAGTAAGGCAAAGTTTCTTAATTAAATTCTTAAAAATAAAAACAAAAGAATTGTGATATTCGGTAATATATTTAGCTAATTAACTAATAATATAAAACGAAAATTAAAAAAAAATAATGATTTTACTCTCTAATAAAACGAAGTAGTAATTAAAAAAAAAAAAAAAAGAAATGAATAAAATTCGCAAACTTTTCAAATTCTTTTGAACAAATAAAGTTTATTGACTTATGTCCAAAAAATAAGTTTTGTTTTAACTTTATTTCTAAAAATAAAAACAACTCAAGATTTATAAATTTAAAATCAGTAATAGAAGCCCATTAAATTATTAGAAGTTTTATCCGAAAGGTTTTTAATAAATTAAAAGAAAGTAAAAAAATAACCTAACAAATTTATTTACTTTGTAATTTAATTCCTTATGGGTGCCTTAAATTAGATTTCCGATAATTTTCACATTTAAAAATATAAAAAAAGTTTTGTCAGAAAATAAATAAAAAACTTACCTAATTAATGAAGAAACTTTTCTTTATAAATTCTTTTCAATAATAGATTGCGTTCAGAACAAGGTTACGACGGCGATCACGAAGTTAATCCCATTGAAAATAATCTACAAGAAACGATTTCAAATCGCGAAGGTGCGAAAACGAACATGTGATATAACGATATAAGGTCTCAAAAGTGATTCTGATTCTACCGCTCATCAGTCAAGGCCGTCTCAACATAACGAAACAATATCGTCTTCCACAGCGCGAGTTGGCATCGGAACGTAAGAGAAAGTCCTTGCGTGTATCGCTATATCGTCTTCTTCACTCGACGGCTTAAATCAGATTTCTGATGCATCGCTTGGAATGAAAGTCGCTGTATCGGTTTGCCGATATAGGCGTTAAATCGATATGTCGCGATATATCGATTTATAGCCCAGTCCTAGTCTTAAGCGAGGAAAATATTATTATTTTATGATTTTAACGCTGTTCAAAGCGTAAATATTCTTTCTCAATATATATTTTATAATTATGTTTAAAATTTTTTTGTTTTACTAAAGATACACTGGTCTTGCCAGTGTAGAAAAAGAAAGTTATTGGTCACGGCCATAAATATTTTAAATACCTGACAAGCTCCAGTTTTAAAATATATTTTATAAAAAAAAAAATAATTAAAAAAAACCTGGGACACCTATCTATCTTTACATACACATCAAATTTTGAAATACATTTTATAAGTAGAGGAGTCATAAGGGTAGGAAAAAGAGAGGCATATGCCCAGGGCTTCACATTCCTAGAACTCTAGAGCTGGTAATACTCGAAAATTCCCATTAATTATTACAAAAATTAAACTTTTTTTTTAAAAAACAAACAAACTTATATTTAGTATCAAATAAAATGATTTCTACTTGCTTACAATGTTCATGAAAGTTTTGACGCAATAAATACAAGAATTGCTTTGCTATCAAACAAAAATCCACTAACTTGTGCATAAAAACAGACAAGGTTACCTAATTGTATATAAAAGCGAAGATCTTTTTCACTTATTAGTGATCAACACCAGCAAATCAGTGGTTAATCCAAGTTTAAATCGTGAAATACGATTTTAAATATTAAACACCTGCTGTCACCAAAACAGAAATTAAAAAAACTTCTTTGAAAGGAAGTTCTGCTCAAGAAATCGAGAACTACAGGAACTAGCGATTACTGCACAATTTTTTCTTCGCAAGGAACATATAATAAAATTCCATAAAACAAAATATGAATAAAAATTATTGTATGCATTTATATTTTCAATAAAACATCATATTGAGTATAATATAAAAATTTATATACCAATTATCAGAGCAGTAAATATTATGCTTCATTCAATTTTATCACAAAAAATGGTAAAAAGCTTCAAATAGTTAAGAAATAAATATTCATTGTCTAAGACTTAATAGTGTAATATTTCCAATAAAAACAATAAAGTTTTTTAACAGCGTATGAATGAATTAAATTTGGGGCCATTCCATGATCCCTGGACGTATTAATGTTCGTTCAGTAGTCGTCCTCCCAGGTTAAATTTAGTCATAAATAAGTCAAAGGAAATATAAACAATTAAATATGATAACGTAATTTGAAAGTATAATATTGACAATGGGCTTCTTATTGATAGTAAATAAGAACTGACTAGAGTTGCAGCTCCACACAACTAAATAGGAAACACAATAGACAAAATGTGAAACTTTTATATGTTATTCCATTATTAACGAGTATAGAATATTGACTAGATATGTAACAGATACAGAATAAATAATTTATACAACAAAATAAACAAGTGGACGGTTCTATAGTAAATATGGGTGTCAGTATAATAGATAATATAGGTTTGCCAACCACCAGAGATTTTTTTTAGGTATATACAGTCAGTCAAATTCATTTTTAAGTTTCACAAACTATAATAAATATATTTTATAAACATATAATTTTGTTTTGATAGTATAGATTTCTATATAATTATATAGTTTGTCAAAGGAAGTACAACTGTATATCCACATTTTCCTCCCCCCCCCCCAAAAAAAATAACGTAACTGAATAATGAAATGTTAACTAAATTTGCTTTAAAAATCACAGTTGCCAAACTATAATAATAAAAGAAAAAGTTTGTTTGGGTGTATCTCTTTAGGAAACAGGTATCTTTAGTCCTTCATCATAAATATTGCTCGACAATTTCTATCTAGTCTATTGTGCTGTTCGAGAAGGGTGTATGAATCATCCAATAAAATACAATTATCAATAACAGAAATTTCTTTTTAATAAAAAAAAGAAATTTGAATTATTTTGGATTGCATTATGCAGGCAGTGAGTTTTACACATACTCGCACAGTGTTGATAAATATCAATCTATTATCTTTTTTTTTAGGCATTCAGATAGACAGAAACAAAGAATATGGCTTTCATTTCACCTCTCATCTTCAAACGGTAAAAATATACAATAGTTTGAACTGTTAGCGTCACTCATTTTTAGCATTAGAAGACAAAATTAGACTGTTGTTAAAGGCACTTGAACCTTCTTCCAATAAAAAACACAATAAGGGTGTCACTTAGTACCCTAATTTACAGAAATTCGCATAATTAATATATTTTTGGCTTTTTTATAAAATTAAAAGCTTAACCATAAAAGAATACTACTTGTTACATAGTAAAACATTTCAGTTAAAATAATTTTTTAAAAAATATAATTGATAAACACTCAATCGCAATAAAAATGTGAACTTAAAGCTTACAATCAAAGCATTTCTTTATATTTTAAAAATATTAGTTGCTAGTAAGCTGTAAAAAGTAAAAATAAATTGGAATTTTTTCTTTATATTATAAAAAGCAAAATTAAATTATAACAATGTTTTTGTTTGTTAATTTTCTTTGGATTCGCTTAAATGTCAAATACTATACTTATTATGGTTAGAGCACAGAAATTTTCCCCCCAAAAATAATACTTAATAATTCAAAAGTATCTAATTAGGATGGCTTAAAAACTGCTCGCTGCTCCCCCCAAACAGTTGTGCTCCTTGACACAGGATAACAGTAATATTGCTAAATTACCATGGTTTAAATCTTCAGTGGCTGGCATCCCTTAGCTAATATATACACAGACCAATACCAACAATTGTGCAATGAAACAATGTAAAGCAAATGTGATGCTACTATAAACATATGTGATTTTCACAATTTTTATACATAGATAATACAACAATGTTAAGTTTAGCTTGAAATTATTGCTTAATACATTGCATATTTGAATGTTCAACTTATTTTACAAGTGACATTCTTAGTTTTTAAGTACACATAAATAGACCAGCCAAAGGGTATGTATGTATAGATTATATAAGTAGATATTTTTTCTCATCACTTCCTGCACTATCAAGACTTGTGATTGACAGAGGACAGCATCCGATTTATCCTCTCATCGTTGCGAGCTATAGACGCTTTCAGGGCACTGTTAGCATCGAGTTGATTTTGAACAACCTGATCCAGATCATCTAACTGGGCACGCAATGGCTCTAATAAAGTTTCTGTAGCACTAGAAAAAAATATATGTTAAGTAATATTTTTTTTTTAAAAAATGGAAAATTGCCCAAAATATAATTTTTGAATTTATGCACAAATAAGACAACAATATTATGTATAGCTCGTTCACCAGGAGTTGGCACTTGGCTCTGTCTGCATCACATGCAGACCTGCCAACCTTAGAAAATAAAAAAGCAGGAGATTCTTTCTGTATCACGACATAGCGCAATATTGAAAATTAAACCTGATTCACATTTCTTACAAGAAGTTTATTTCAAAATATATTATTTACATTACATAAAATAGATCACAATAAGATTCTGACACTGACTAATAAAGATATGTGTTCTTACTATAAAATATAAGGTTCTATAGAATTATATTAAAACACATCTTGATTTTTTAAAATTTAGGAAGAGGTTCAAAATTAGCAAAATATGTCAATAATGAATACAATACTTTATAAATGTATTTCTTCTTATTTTTTTTAAACTGCTACT